ATTAGGTTTCTAGTTGAATTTTGTATTTTGTATTTAATTCGTATGTTTTAATGACTCAATCATCAATTGGAGTGAAACAAAAAAAAATTAGATAATTCTTGATAATTTGAAATAGTTTCCAAATAAAAATAAAGTGTACAAGTGAAGAATTACAATGCACACAAAGAAAAGAGCCAAATAAGAATCCGGCACTGGTTCCGTAGTGGAGCCTCACTAATCCATGGCAGGCAACTTTTCAAGAGAAGAACGGAGGATCAACCTAGCTCAGCACGGTACAGCCGAATCGTCGTCAGAAAGTGCGGTTCAACTTGTACAATTTGCTCCATAATTTCTTTTAGCTGAAGAATTGAAGCTCTAAAATGCTCTTTTAGGACCAATTTTCTCTCCACATAAACACATCTAAGCAAGAATCAAGAGAACATGGGGAGCGAAAGAATAACACTACTAAATGTAGAACTCAATTAGTTTCTCAGTCTTTAGTTTAGGCTAGTGTAGAATAATTTAAGTTTAGTTAGTTCATCCTCTCTTGTGTATTAACTAAATAAGGATGAAGTTGGAGGATGAAAAAGCCAATGAAGGAGCTCATGTGACAAAGATTTTTTCCCTTCCTAACTCTTTATATTTTGTAATTGATTCCAAGTTTAGTTATTATATAAGTTTGGATTTTGTATTCATTATGTATTTCTATATTTATGTCTGGAGTTATGGATGAATTTTCTATAATTAGTTATAATATTTTACTTGATTATTTGATACTATTATTTTGAATAAGTTATTTAACATTTTTATTTTTATGATCATGATTAATTAGCTATTAATAGTTGTAATTTCAAGATGTTAAGTTTGCAATAAAAATTGAAATTTAACATTAGTTCAAGAAAGTGATAAATCTACCGAATATACTCACGAAATAAGAGATGTACCTTTATGATCTTAATAGTTTGTTCCATGTAATTTTATATAATTTAATAAACTTTAACTAGTTATACTTGTACACGTATGGACCAAGTTATACTTGTACATTCAATTAGTGTGCACAAAAAAAACTTGCGCATGTAACGTAAAATCGCATCAGGAAAATATTATTTGAACTCCACTTTTTATTAATTGCACTCCCATTATTTGTTTTGTTATAAAATCTAGCAAATAAAAATTATATAATAAAAATGATATTGGGAGTGTGATTAACAAAAAGTGGAATGCAACAACATTTCCCAAATACTAATTGTACCTACCTTTGGTCCTGTCTGAAAGCTTTTGGATAGCTGAAATAGTTCCAAATGCAATTATCATTAGTGTTCATGTAGCGTTGGCTCTTTCCCGCAATGGTTGTGCCGTTTGATTTCATTTTCATTCCATTGTTAGCAAATTAAATCAATGTCCAAATGGATTAACTCTTGCTTAGGGCAACAAACAAATTGTGCCGCTCACGAGCTGCTCGAGTTCGGTCTAGTCGAGTTCGAGGTCAAAAATACTCAATTCGTTAACTCGCAAGTCGACTCAATTATATTTTTTTAATATTAAAATTATATATATATCCCTAATTTTTTATTATTTGTTAAGAATAATTATTATTTTATTCATTTTTAAAAATAAAATAATTATTTTTTTTAATCTCAATCTCGTACCATTGAGAGCTCGTCGAATTCGAGTTTCATAAAACTAAATTGAGACTCTACTCGATCAGGTCAAAGTTCGACTCGATTCGACTTATTTACACCCCTACTCTTGCTTTAGGCACCGTTTGTTTTGAGGGAATGGGGAGAAAAGGAAAGAAAGAAAATGGAGGGATAAGATTTTTTTATGTTCGGGTTGGTTTTTGGGAAGGGAAAGGAAAGGATTGGGAGGGAAAGAGAGGGATAAAATTTAGTTATTTTTTTATCATCTTGCTTTCTGTCTAAAAATGGGTCGAAACTGAGGGAAATGACACCAAAATTAATGAAAATTTTTGAAATTTTCTTAAAAACTTATTATGTATTTATAAATTAGACTTTTAAATTGTAGATAAAAACATAACTAACGTGCGATAATTTCTTATCCTTTCCTTTCGTAATCCAAACGAGATGATGGATTCAACTTTCTACTACTCTCCTTTTTTTTTTCTTTTTCACTAGAGTCCTCTCATTTACCTTCCTTCAATCCAAACGGTGTCTTAATGTTTCTAGAATTACTTGCGTTGGTATGCTATGACGCATAAAACCTAAAATAAATACCTTCCATTAGCTTATTCTTCAAAGTGATTTGTTTGGGATGTAGTTGACATAGCATTTGGAACTCACGAGTATGTGTGAGACATTGGAAATTTTCCCAAAATGAGGCAAAGCTAACAAGTGTTTGCATGTTCTCCATCTGGATTGTGGGAATCTAAGGAGAAAGAAAAGAAAGAAATTTGAGGGATTAATTTTTTTTGGTTTGGAATGATTTTTGAGGAGGGGAAGGGATAAAAGTTATTTTGTTGAATTATGGCTCTGCTTGGATTTGATTATATTTTAAAAACTGAGTTTTCAAATAAAATATCACAGTAATACACAAATAAAAATAACTCCAAAAACACCAATCCACATGAAAACGACTCAAAAATAAAAATAAAATAAAATAAAATGAAAATAAAAAAATAATTTTACTACTTTTTTTTCTTCCACCACACAATACCACCCATCACCGCCATCCCCTCGCTCCTCTTCTCTTCTCTCTTTTTTCTCTCTCTTTCTCTCCCTCCCTCTTTCTCCCTCTTTCTCCCTTTCCCTCCTCTCACATCTCGTCCCCTCCCCTCCCCATCCTTCCCTTCCCCTATGTCAAAAACCCCCTCCCCTCCCCCTCCACTTTCAATTGCAACAAACTTCTGATCAAACTAGTCACAACTAGAGGCAACCAGATTCAAATCTGGTTGCAATTGGTCAGAAACTGGTCACAACCCTTTGGTCATGATTGGTCATGGAAGGGAAGAAGGAGGAGGAAGGTGCTGACAGGAGAGGATAGATAGGGGAGAGGAGGAGGAAAGAAGGGAAGAAGAGAAGAAAGATGGAGAGAAAGGAGAGACAAGGAAGGAGGGGATGGTGGCGGTGGTAGCGTGGGTGGTGGTTGATAGTGGTTGTGAGTGGTGTAAATTTTTAAAATTATCTAAAAAGTTTTATATTCTAAAAATACCCCCAACATACATCCCAAAAACACTTCCATTAACATCCTAATACATTTACAGTAAAAGTTGTTCAAATACAATGTTACAGTAAAATTTTTGAAAAATAGCTAATCCATATTTCCCTCCAAAAGTAGATAGAAACAAAAAGAAAGGGTGCCAAATCTAATAAATAATTTTAATTTTTTAAAAATTAAAATTTTTTCCCATCCTTTTTGGTTAACTAACACTTCATCTTTTCCTCCTTAACCCAAACAAAATTTCAACATTTCTTTTATTTTCTTTCCATATGTAATCCAAATAGAATGGATGGAAATTACTTTTCTCAGCTCTCCTTTCCTTTCATTTTTTTTTTTTTTTTGCTATCCTTTCCTTTCCTTTCCCTTCCTTTCCTTCAATCCAAACAATAGGGAATTGATTTATTCCCTGGATGAAAAATCTAATATAAATTAATCTAATCTAATCTAACAACTAGCCGAATCTAATTTAATAATATTGTCAAGGTGTGAATAAGTTGTTACTCTGGTGTTTCATCATTTTTGCATTTTATCGCTAACTAAGAGTCTACAACTTACACATAGCTTACATATATGTGTTTATGATTGGACAATGATGTAAAATATTGCACGCCCCCTGATGAGATACAAGAAGAAACCAAAGAAAATAAAATTAGAAGAAAAATAAAATTTTCATGTCATTATTAACCAATGAGGAAAAATGATGGTATAAATCCTATCAAAGAGTACCCTGCAATTAATATTAAAGAATATTGCAAGGTACTCTTTGAATTATTATTAGGGTAATGTTATTTGCACTTTCCATATGTTATTTGCGCTCTCAGTATTTTATTTTTATTTTGATAAGACCATATTACCCCCTCCCTAATTTCATCTCCTTGTCTATGAGTTAATTTTACTAGATTTTCTCTTACATTCTAAAGCCAATTAATTATTCCATTACACATTAAAATGACTAATTTAAAATTGTCACTAATATGTATTATGTATTTTTCTACAAAACTTCACAAAATTATATGCTGCCAAAGATCAATCTAACAATGTAATATGAACAGACTCCAAACTTCAAATCAAAAAAATAAATATAAAAAAAAATCCCTTGCGTCCAAGATGACCAGAAATTGAGTGTAACTACAATATCTCATAAATAGAACACTAATACTTCAAAAAGTCTACTAAGAATAACTCATATAGCCATCATAGAGGGAGTGAAACTTTCTAATATATTTCAACTAAAACATAACAGCATCTAGTATCCAAATGATGCAATGGAACCTCAATTGTGCTCATCAAAAATCTGCAAAATTGAAATTGAAATAAGAATATGAAAAATATTTAAAAAAACAATTACAAAGATTTAGAAAAGGAGAAGCAAAAGTTAAATTTTTTTAACCTTTTGAACACATACGACAATTGTGTCCAACTTTCTTGCATATGAACACAAGATAGGATAGGAAAAGAAATTAGGGTAGGAGTAACATGGTTTCATCAAGATAAAAATGAGTTAGTGAGAGTGTAAATAATATAAGAGGAGTGTAAATAACATTATCCTTACTATTAAAGAATTAATATCAAAGAGTACCCTGCAATATAAAGAATATTGCAACTAATATTAAAAATTTTAGGGTACTCAATGAATTATGTTAAGTAAATGAATGCAATAGGAGCAAATATAGTAGTAATTGGCACTTGCCGGGCCCCATGACTTTTTTTATTTTTTATTTTTTTGGTTATGGTTCGAACCAAACCGGAATTAGAACTGCGACTCAACCCGGTTGGAATTCTGCGTCACGAACCGACCACCTCCAGACCCGCCAAACCACCCATTTGCAGGATTTGGGCAAAGTTACACGTCAAAGCAGAAGCAGGGTTTTTACTTGTTGGCTTAGGATTGATGAGTTGAGTATTTGAACGAAGGTTCTCTGCTGGATTGGAATTGACGAAATACTTCTCAGGGATATATATGTTTCTTGAGGTGAGCCTTCCGAAATCATTTTCATCTTGTTGGTATTTTCTTAACTATGTTCAATTTTGTATGCTATTGTAGAATATTGGCTTATGCAAGAAATTGCTCAATTGATGCCGTTTCAAGTTTAATACGAGCCCATAAACAAGAACTGCATTTTCTTCAAACCCACCAGCCATTTTCATCATCTTCCATCGTAAAAACTTCAGAAAAGCGGTCAACAGTAGTTTCTTACTTGATTAACTCTTGTGGGCTGTCTCCAGAAAGAGCCATTTCGGCCTCAAAATATGTTAACTTCAAAGCCCCAGAAAATGCAGACTCAGTAGTTGCATTTTTCAAGAAGCACCATTTTACTGATGTTCAAATCTCAACTCTTATTTATGGCCGCCCACAAATTCTCTCAGCCAACCCTGACAAGACCATTTTGCCCAAGTTGGAATTTTTGCAATCTGTTGGGTTCTCAAGCTTTGACATTCCCAAGTTGGTATGTGCATCGCCGAGAATACTTCATAGAAGCTTGAGAAATCGTCTAATCCCAGTTTATAATTTCCTCAAAAACCTGCTCCATTCCAGTGAAGATGTTGTGGTTGCTGTTAAGCAATACCCAGAGGTTCTACAGCTTGACATAGAGAATACTGTGGCACCTAATATTCAGATTCTGCGAGACATTGGTGTGGGCAAATCTCATATTCTGTTTTGTTTAAAATGTGCACCGCGTGTATTAGGCAGTAGTCCTGACAGATTCAAGGAAATTGTAGAGAGAGTTAAGAAAATGGGTTTTAATCCTCAAAGACAAAGCTTTGTTCAGGGAGTTAATGTGATAGGGAGAACAGCTTCTTCAACTTGGAAACGCAAAGTTGAGGTCTATAAGAAATGTGGTTGGACTGAGGAAGAGGTGCTGGTAGCTTTCAGGAAGTTTCCGCGTTGTATGTTGGCATCAGAAAGTAAGATCTTAGGAGCAATGGACTTTTTGGTACGAGAAATGGGATTCAATCCTTCAATTTTTGCAAATAGACCACATCTCATTTCTGTCAGCTTGAGGAAGACACTTATTCCCAGGTGTTCAGTTGTTCAAGTTCTGCTCTCAAAAGGTTTGGTAGACAAGAACTTTAGCCTGCAACTGTTGCTGGAATGCCCAGAAAATCAATTTCTTAAGAGGTTTATCATACCCCACAAAGAGGGAGCTCCTGAGCTGTTGAACTTATATCAGGAAAAACTGAAAATTCCAAATTGACTGGCGTAAAGCGTGCAAGTAGACTGGGCAAGAGAGGTAACATGATTAATCATCTTTAGTCATTGGTTGATTCTTAAACTTGTCATGCTGACTGTACGTGTGACCTCTTTCAACAGTTTCTAGTCACACGTGGTCAATTTCATCTATTTGCTTTTTTGCAACTGATCCAAATTTTGAGGTGTTTTTGATGTCTGCTATGATCCATTATAGGTTCTTCTTGATAGTTCATTTCACCCCTTATGCGTATGAACAAGATATCTCGGCTTCTGTTTTTTATCGTCATATATTAGTCTTTGGCTTTCTGGTTTGCTTAGAAGGGATTGTACTAATATGTCAAATAAGCAAACTGAAGACTTGGATATTTTGCAGCTGTCTTGAATCTGTCCTGTCTCTCCTATGTTGTGCCAAGCAGATGCTTCTATTAAAACAGTTTTCTTATATACGTATGATCACGCAAAATAGGAATTTCTGATTCATTGATCAAACATCAATATTTATATTAGCAGAAATATCTCTTTTCAGCTTCTAAAAGGATATCATTTGCTCTGTTGAGAAAGTTAAGACGATTATTGCCCGAATATTTGGTTAGTCCTGCATCACTTATTTCTGGAACCATGAGAAGGACCTACATTTTTGTATGAAGAGCATACCAAAATAGTTGTGAGGAGCTTATGATATGATGCATATACAAGTAAAAAGAGTGGAAAAATCTTGCATAATGAAAATGAAATACCAGTACAGCAGAAATCAGTTAAATGCAGATGGAACCCAAGCCCATAGTTAATGCACAAACTTATCCTCACGAAGAATGCTGTAATGAAATCTTTTTTAGAGTACATCTCTTCTTGTTCCACTGTCCTTTGTGACCATAATTGGTAAAGTTCTAATTTTCCTGTTTATGATGCAAAAAACACTTAATAGTACACATACCGAGCCTGTGGTTGATAAAAGAGGATGGCAGTAATTGTTTGCTTTCTGTTTTTGGATCTGTTTGCTATAATTTAAGACTAATATACTGCATGACAGTATGAGACGCTTTTAGGATTTAAGTCTTTTTGAGGTATTGATTGAACAATGAAAACTGACTTGAAAAAGTAAACAAGAATGTCAAAATAATACGTGAACTATATATTTATTTGTGCTAGCTGCGCAAAATCATTCTAAACCATTATAGGAAGTAAATATAGGGAATAATTATCAGCTAGAGCTGATGTTTGGTAGAACCTATATTTTATTTTTTTTTTAACTATTAAAAATCTAAATTCTAAATGCAAGAGCAAACTAGAATATCACACAAAATTGATTGTCCAAAATCACATAGATTCAGAATCTATAATTGGGTAAATAATCAAACAGAACAGACTAGCACCCTGATACTAACACTGTAAGTGCTATAAAGGCACTAGGTAAGAGATTCGTTATAAAACAAACCACACTCTTATCGGCTATGCCGACAAGAAGGGGTCACAGAAGCAGGGTTTTAGTTCTTCTGTGAACAAAGGTTGTTGAGAACTCAGACGAATGTTCTATTTTGGATGGAGATTCAGGTCAGAATTTTTCTTGAATTTTATCTTTGGTGAATACAACATCTTTTGTTAGCTATGTTTGGTTTTTTGTGCAATAAAGCATTGAATTAAGCAAGAAACTGCTCTGCTCGCAAGATTAATCACTGCTGCAATTTTTTGAAATCCACTGGTCATTTTCATCATCATGTTTAAAGAATACTCCGAATAACCCCTCAATGGTAGCTTCTTACTTGATAAAGTCATGTGGGCTCTCGCCAGAAAGAGTCCTTTTCACCTCAAAGCATCTCAAATTTGGAATTCTCAAAGATGCAGATGCAATACTTGCATTTTTAAAGAATCATGAAATTAGTGATGCTGAGATCTCAAACCCTGTAAGGACATACCGAGAAATTCTCTTAACCAACCCTGCAATTACTTTTTACCCCAGTTTGCATCTATGGGATTCTCAAGCTTTGACAATTTCAAGTTGGCCTGTAGATAGCTGACACTACCACATAGTAGTTTGTAACAATGTATCCTACCAGCTCATAACATCCTTAAGAATTTGGTTCATTCCGATGAATATTCTATTAGCAATTAAGCAATGCCCTGAGGTTTTAGGATAAATTTGAACATTATTCTGGCACGAAACATTTGGATGATAGTGGTGTGATTGAATATTATGTCCCAAGAGATTCAAAAAAAATTGTGGAGAGAATCAAGAGAATAGGTTTTAATCCTCAAAAGAGAACATTTCTTGAGGGAGTTTATTTGATGGCATCACCAGCAACAAGAACATGGAAACACAAGATGGAGCGGTTGGTCTGAGGAAGAAGGGCTGGCAGCTTTAATGACTTATCCACTTGAAATCAGAAATGAAGATCAAAGCAGTTATGGATCTTCTGGTGCAAAAGATGGGATTTGATCCTTCCGTTTCAGTGAAAAAGCTGCAGATTATTTCTTTTAGCTTGAAGAAGAGAATTATCCCAAGGTGTTTAGTGAGGTTCTTTTAGCAAAGATGCTGGAACTTCTGGAAAAATTGTTCCTTGAAGATTTTTGCTGCGCTGCCATAAGGAGGAAGCTTCTGAACTCTTTCAAGCTGTATCAGGAAAAACTGAAAGTTTCAAAGTGACTAGCATAGATAGAACAACTAAAACGTGTGAATAAGCTGAAATCCATCTTCAGATCTTCATTGATTACTGGTTTCTATAATCTTGGGATGTCCATTATATATCTTCATTTGGCTGCTTCAAACTGTCTTCGACACTTTCATCTTCTGCTCTTTTCTTGCGTCCACGTTCTCTGGACTATATCCTCAACTAGTGTGTATTCTGCAAATTTACTGGCAGATAAATTTAGTGATCATTGTACCCCTTTACTTTGGTATCTGGTACTAGTTTGGGTAAAGAAGTATGTTCCTACGCATTTTATATTTTATTGTCGGCCTCTAATTAAAAATGACTAAATGCTATGAAAATGAAGACGAAGAAGAAGATGAAGAAGAAGACTAAACACTAAAGATAGATTTAAGTTCTACGGAGATTAATTGTGTTGTGCTTCTTGTTAAACGGCAAATGGAAGCTTAGATCATTTGCTATGGTGCTGTTGTTTTATTGCAATGACTTGAGGACTGGCTTAGCATGCATGCCTTAGTCGGTTAGTCCTAGGAAAGCCACTGCACTGCAGGGGGGGATGCGTAAATGCACTTGACAGGTCATCACTGTTTGCAGGAATCAATTGTTGGATTTTTTTTCAAAGGGTAGCATTTGCAGCCATGGCTCATGTATCTCGTCTGTCAGAAATCAGATGGTTAGTTCTCTTAGTGCTGGCACAGGTTACAAATGCGTATCAAGAAAACGTAGTCAAATAAGGAAAAATGAATTTGGAATCATTCCTGTTGCGGAATCAAGTCGGCTATGCTATCTTCATACTAAAGAAACCTCTTGATTGCATATGTCCCATGGTTCTAAAATCTAGATCGTGTGAGTTGGTAGTTTTGAATACTTTGTAACAGCTTCTCATTCTCCTAGAGCACGATGACACGGGAAGAGGGTAGACAAGTTTCTCTTAATCCAACTTTGCTTTAGTCCTTTCTCGGTTCATTAACGTCCTCTGGTTTAGGACGGAAGTTAGTGCAAACAACTTCCAATAATTCTGTTGTGAGAATTTAATCTTCTACCACTTAATCAAGAGCTATCTTTGTGCTAAAAACGTGTCTTCTTTTTTCCCACTTCTTGTAAAACGAATGTATCGAACTGCAGATTCTTGGCTCATTTTACCGAGTTGGGCTCATCGGTTGACCTACATTCATTAAATCCAATTATAAAAAGATTTTGTCTTTGAAAGTACAAAATATGATCGTGCAAACCAGACTCGATGTAGAAAACAGCACAAAACCGGATAATGTAATAAGAGAAAAGTATATATGATACAATTAACAACTAGTCAAAACTCCTGCCAATCTCCCTAATAAATTTTTAAAAAATAAAATAAAATCGATTAGCTCATTGGATTGCCTCGCAGATCAAGATTAATTAGCAGTTTTCAGCTCTTCTAACCAAAAGATTGACCATTGATGAAGGAGAAGAAAAGAAGTCAAGCATTTCACTCCCCTCGGTCACATCTCACTGCCTGTCTTCTCATAACATCCTTGTTTCGGCGGAAGCAGTTCCATGCCTACACCAATCCAAAACTCAAATCCAAGGCCTGCAAAATCAGCGTATGTTGCCAATTTCTTACCATCCTGGGGCAAAATTCATCTAGGAGACAATAAGTGCCTGCATATATTAAAGCTCAATTTCATTCAATGAAAACCAACTGCTCAGTACTATTTTGACTAGTTAGAACATTTAAAAAATTCTCCGACAGACTTGTACGTAACAGAATTAATAAATCAACAGAAAAGAAGGCAACCTGAATCTTAACAACATAGTGTAATCTAACCTTGTGCTGCTTCCTGCATGTATATGTAATATATGTAACATCCATAGGACAAGCAAACTTAAGAACCAAAATATAATATTATTTAGGAGGCCCTTCGTTGCAGAGAGTAAATTTCTTCCTTTTTTCAGCAGCTGGACAAAAAATTTTCAACATGGTAAATCTAAAACACATCTCTAAGCCATTCTCTGGGGCAATTATCCACATTTCCTCTCTCTTGGCATGTCAAAACCAGCTTAAACATCAGCGGGTTTCCTTTTTCAATACATATCCTGATAAAAGTTTATTGAGATATGCACTTCTCTACTAAGACGAACATAACACTAGTAAAACAATTGTCTGAAACACATCACATCTAGTATACAATGTCTAAGAAGGTTCTTTAGTGAAATTTTGGTAAAACAGTACAGGAACAACAAGCTGAAATGGAAACTCATCACAAGATTCATTCCTCTAAAGAAATCACGTACAACTAACTATTTTATCATTAAGGAAATGGAAACCACGTTAAAGCATCAGAAAGGTTGAAAGAAAGGTCAAAGGCCCAAGAGCTAAGCTATCCATTTGAAATTTGACAGGGCGAGGATACATGGATATACATATAACTGATAAAGTTCAAGAGATACCCAAGAGGTACTGCTGCAAATTCACAAAAACAAGCGTAGAGAAAGGTTGAATTGTACTATTGACCACAGTAATATTTTCTTTCCCACTTCATATATTGCTTATATCACACAACACAGTTCCAGCTTATAAGGAAAAGTACAATCTTTTCCTCCTATCTGGAGTTAACATCTTCTAAATATCTGGGTGAAAGTTTGGGTTGGAACTATGACACCTTTCCATGTCATGAAGGAAAGGAAAATTTGCAGCAGAAAAGCAAATTTGAACCTGTCTTGCTTTGTCCCAGTTTACAAAGACAAATACCCCTATCTGGATTTTACATCTTCTAAATTTTTAGGTAGAAGTTGGAAGCATTGGAACTATGGCACTTTTCCAAGTCAAGAAAGAAAGGAAAATTTGCAGCAAAAAGCAAATTTGACGTAACTGTCGTTTTTATATTCACTACTTTAAAAGACAAAAAATAGAAACTGACAGCAAACAGGTTAAATCTATCATGTCAAGAAATGAATGAAGAATTACAAGAAGTTGACTGCAAGCAGCACGATATACGGGTCAAAAGAAAAATAAATAATTCAATAAACAATAGTCTCATTACCTCCTTAATAAAAACTGCCTAAGCTACATCCTGCACGCTGGACTTCTTTTTACTTTTTGTTTTCGAGGGGATTTTCCCATATGCCATAAGCCTTGAGTGAGACAATTTCAGTTCAGCTTGACGATGCCTTCTCTTACTACGACGTGACAGTTTGCTTGTATCACCATTGGATTCTGCAGGCCATGGTTTCTCACTCTCAGCAGAACTCACCGCAGAATTTACGTTTCTACTGTCACTCAACAACTTATGATTTTTTGGTACAGTTGATACATTTGCTTTAACTTCCTTGATCCTCTGCCTCTGCTGATATGCCTTAATTCGAGGAACCTTCCATTCCTTTTCACGGTATGGAGCCAGCTTCTTAATAGGAACGTACTGATTCAGCTCCTTATTATCCATTACAAGAATTTCCTCCGGATTAAGTCCATATCTATTAGGAGGAACCTCTCTATAATGGAATTTAGTCTTCAAATCACCTATTGTGTCTTCATAGTCCAACTTATAATACTCCTCCAAAAACTCATCTCTCAATGCCTTTTCCACCTCAGAGGCATGACGCTTCCGTTTTTTCTTCCGCTTTCCATCTTCAGGCCTTGCATCTTCTTCATCACTTTGCTCATGATTGTCTCCACTTTCTGTCTTGAGCTGTAAAATTCTTTCCCTGGTAGATAAGAAGCCATTGCAGGCATTTCTTATATCATCCCAACCTTCGGGAAGTCCAAGCAACTCATCTTCTTTGGCAAAATCTGGCTTTTCAAACTCATTATTATCTTCACCATGATCACTTCCAAACTCAGGGTCAACATCATCTGCTTTATAATAGCCATCATCAAATGCTTCTTTCATCTTTTTATCATACTCATCCGGATTAAATTCCTCCTCCAAGTCATCCTCATCCAACAACCAAGCCCCATCGTCCCCAATACCAGCAGCCTTCCTTAACTTCCTAAGCTTCTCCATCATCTCCTTCTTCTTCACATTCTTCAGGTGCTTCAACTCCTCTCTCCTCTCAAACTCTGCCTGTGCCATCCTCTCCTCCTTCCTCAATCTTTGCACCTTCCTTGCATTCGTCTTTTTTCTCACTGACCCCTCCACTACTCTCGAATGACCCATCACCCTATCCCCTGCATTTTCCTCGAACCTAAAATTATAATCCCTCTCATAGTCCTCTTGCCTCTCAATCTCCTCTTCATCCGCTGAAACACCCAACCCCTCCTCATCACCCACCCCCTTCTTATGATCACCATTCCCAACCCACATCCTATTCCTAAAATAATCCTTCAAAAACATCATATCCTCGTCCAACTTCTCATCCCCACCAAAATACTCGTCCAACTTCTCTCCAAACCCAACATCCTCCTCACTCTCCTCGTCTTCACCATCCCTTTTCCTCTTCTCAATCAAAAACTCTTCTCCATCATCCCCCTCCTCAGCCTCTGCGTCCTCCACTGCCTGCAAAAACGCCTTCCTCAGCTCCTCTTGCTCCTCCGCATAGCTCTTGACCACCTTCTTATCCACATTATCCTTTTCCTCATCATCATCATCATCAAACTCCGGCCCCTCCTCAATCAACTGCTTCGACGCCACATCTTTCAAATACATTGGCTTCTTTTTCTCCTTCCTTTTACCATCTTTTTTCAACTTATTTCCCTTTTCTTCACTTCCACTATTTCCATTTCCATCATTATCATTATCATCATCTTCCTCATTTTCAGAATCCAATTCAGATTGAAATAATTTAGCTTCTTTATCTTTCAAAATAGGGTCTTTATTTCTAACTCGAATTAAAGCATCAAAAAATTCTAAATCTTTTTTCTTACTCAGGTTAGCATTCTCCTCCTCCTCCTCTTGTTCAGATGAAGACTCTTCGGAATCTGACTCCGAATCAATGACCCCTTTCTTCTTGAGCTCCTCGAGTCGCTGCAAATCCTCCCGCTTCTTATTATGCTCATAACGCCGGGCGAACTCCTGGTTGATTTCGATTCTGTTTAGCTTCTCATCGTCCTCGCTGGAGCTGTCGCTGTCGAATAATTTCAACCCCATTTGTTCCCTCGGAATATTAGGGGTTTGATTTCTGAATGTCAGCTGCTGGTGCTTATGAATTAGGGTTTTGGGAAATCAATACTAGTACTAGTATAAAAAAGGGGAGTTGGCTTATGAGCAGTCATGGTGCCCATAGGGGACCATAGGGGACCATGACTAGGTGGCTAAATTTGAAATTTCCCCTTAACATTGTATAGATTGAGTTGGGCTTGTGATACGTTACTTTTGTTGCCTTATTACATGGAAGCAATTGGAGGCTTACCCATTTATTTTAACTTTTTGTAAATTCATTTTTACAAACTAAGTTATCAATTTATACTACTCTTTGCATTCATTATTAGTTTTAAATATTTACTTATAATGTTCAATAAGCCTGATTATCAATTTTTTTCATCTGTACTCTATGTCGCAAAATTACATACTATTTGATAATTGAACAATAAGTATATAAAAATTTGAACTAAGTACTATAAAAGTTAAGATAAAAATTTAATTCAAAAATTTTGAACTCCTAGCATTTTTTTCATGTGTAAATTTAAAATTTCATTTTGAAAATGTAGGAAAATAGGTTAAAACTTGTCATAAATTGGTAATGCTAAAAAATGAGCAAGTTAACAAACTAAGAGAAAATAAAATGATAAGATAAAATCAACAAATAATAATAATAATAATGAAACAAAAGTAGTTACTATCATGAGAAAATGAAGAATCTGAAAAAAAAAAAAAAAGAGGTGGAGGAAGAGAGGAGGCTTGGGATAAGACAATTCTAAATGATTTAATTGGATTTGACAAGTTATCCGATAAAATTAAATGGGTATTATTGGGTAACTCATTTTATACTCATATGCAAAAACTTAAGATACCCATATCCATCTATTCATAGTCGGTTATGGGTAAATTTAGTTAAATAGGTTTGTTTGTCATCTATAGTTTTGCAATAGTTGTTGACATTAGTTTTCTACCATGCAACCACCTATTTTTATTAATGTAAATAGTGCTTTTGTCTACAGCTCTTTGTATAAACTTTCTATCCTGTAATGACCAGTTTTTTGTAATGTACAGATTGCTACAAAATAATGTACCTACGTATCCAGTACTACAACTCTTTCATCATCAAATTCGCACACACCCACTCTTAACTCCACACACACAACTAACAACTTCACAAAAAACTAGGCACCTTTATGCATTGCATGAGACACAAATAAACTAGTAGAAAACAAAAGACGGACTTGTCGAACTATTGGAGTCGGGTCATTGTATCTAGGAGACGAGGGAAGTCACGGAGAGTGTTTGGATATCTTATTTTTTCAAATAATATTTTGCCTATATTATAAACATATTTTTCAATCCATCTTTTTATATTTTTAATTATTTTTTTATTTTATATACATTACATCACAAAAAGTGATACAGTAATCATTTCAAATAATAATCTATCCAAACATTTTCCGTGTCAAGGACAACAATTCTAGAAGCGATTATTGCTGCTGTTTAGAACTCAAGAATCACGTCTACTAAAATATACAACCAAATTTTGACTTGCGAGTCTTCATTTGAAATTTTGGATTCATATTCGAATTCGATCTTCAATCTTATACACGAACTTAAAATTTTTGCTCGATTTCGATTTAATATAGTATTCGATAGGTTCGAACTCGAATCGAAAGCTCAAAAAATTTTATTTTTATATTAATTTATTAATAATACATGTATAATCCTTATATAACAAAATAATAAATCTATATATTTGTATAAAACATAAATATATATATTTAAAATATTTTAAAAAATTATTTGACCCTTATCAATTCTAAACAAGCCAAATATGCATAAATTATAGGTCGATTCAAAACTTTAGTCAAATTTTAATTCTTGTTCGAGTTTGAATTCGAGCTCGTCAAAAATCGAATTTATATTGAGCTCTTAACAAATCAAGCCCTAACTACTTATTAAAGATTCGATTTGTTTATGTCCCTATAATCCCCATCTCCCCCAAATCTATTTCCTATTTGCTTTTAAAGGTTAGCTCCTTAATTACTTGATGTACCACACCATAGGACTATCTATTTAAAATTTGTTTAGAACTGATTCTTCTAGGAGCATTAACCTTTAAAAAATGTTTTAAGAATAATTGTGAAATAAATACAATTTCCTCTCTTTCTTGGAGTTAGATATCAGGTGCTTCATGCCCAGAACCACCTCAAGACCGCGAAAATAGTATAAACTTGTCATCATCTCGAAATGCCAAAGTGCCCATGCATGTGAAGCAGGTAAAGCTCGACAGAGTTATGAGCCATTCCGAGTTCGAACTTGGAATAACTTATCAAAAAGTACAATCATTAGGTGTATTACTTGCCTCAACAGCAACTAGGAGCTATCTTATACCGTAACTCTTTTATCATATCCGAGCAGTTCTTCATTGGCCCAATTTTAAGGTCTAAAACTCAGCACAAACAGAAGCAGAAACTCTACGTTTCGTGATCTTAAAGTAGTTCATCACAAGAAAATTGCTGCTCATGAATGGACTCAAACAACAAAAAAACTTGAGCAACAGAAATCCAATGTCAAATTGGTAACTTAAAAGCCAAGAATGCAGCGTCTTTCCACAGTTCCAACAGGCACAAGATACAAAAATATCCAGAAAACTTGGGCACCATGACGCTGAGTCCAAAATTTAGCTCTCCTACTTCCAAATCAATTTTCCTTTCCATGCAAAAACGGGATTTAAAAGCACATTGACGCAGCCTAAGAAATAGAAAAACCAACACTCGGTAACAAGAATGCTTCGTCTGAGAATGATAGAAGCAAACATGCATGCTCAAACTACAAGAGCACTAGCCCAAGTTCTGACGGTTGCAGCACACGTCTTATTCGGTAGTTGTACAGATAGTAATGCAGTTTCCCGTCACCTGGGCCAAATTTCAGTTCCTTCAAGAAAGTCTCATTATGCATGACATCCAAAGCATTGAAAACATCAAAATCTTTCCGCTTAGCCACAATGAGAGCATCGTTCATCAGCTGGGTTAACGGAGTCTTTGTAGACACATTGTAATAAGAATAAGCAGCCTTTAGTGCAGTGTAATTCTGGCTACCTAATATAGAAGAGGGAAGAGTGTAAAAGCTGCAGAAGTCAGTGATCTCGTGAGTCTCTGGGCTTTCAACCAGGAAACTATCCACAACATTCTCCTTTGGAAGAAGCCAGTGCTCTACATCGTTTTCATCAAAGTCTGGCGAAACAACAAATTGCCTCAAGTAATTTCGAAGTAAACGAGTAACTGCAGGAACATCATGAGGCTCCATCTTCCTGAAACCAGGTGTGGCTGTTTGATCCGGCAACTTGTACAACTTTATAGTGCGGCTCATTGTCATCCTTGCACCAAGCCTAGAAAATCCTACATCAATAAGCTTCTTTGGGTTCAAAGATCTATGCCAATATTGGCAAATTGTTATGGGCGTAGGAATAACCACACCGGCAGTATAGGCTGCCTGCCAGATATTCTCCAAGTGAACCCTCCTTGTTACTTCTTTGATCATTACAGGAGCAAGCCTTTTCGACCTAAGTTTCTTATGGACGCAAAGAAAATTGATTTCTGCCATGTTTACAATAGTTTCACGAACCCGGATCCTTGCAGGAACCCCAGTTATAAAAGCGACCATCCTTTTTGAACTCTTCGCTCTCACTCCAATGTGCCAGCTCCTGAAATAACCTGGAGGGCGAAGTGCCCATTGAAGAAACTCTTTTGAGTAGTTGAACCTGAACATGTTCTCATCATCCTCAACATAGTTAGAAGTTAAGAGATTATACACCTCATTACACATCTCTTCAGAGTCCATATCGCAGGTAATCCACTCATATTGACTTGGAAGATTATAAGGCTCTTGTTTGACCTCAGACAGGGGAGTTGGAGCCTCAATTGGGCCTTCAGGAAGGTTTGTATCCCCAAGATCTTTGAGTTGCCCCACCGGTTGCGTTTCCCAAAACTTATGCCTCTTTGCAAGGGAAAGGGATTCTTGGACTTTTCGTGCCAGGGAATCCATTGATATCTCTGACTCATTCTTAGGAGTTATATTTGCATCAGAAGTAGGTTTAGGGTTCTCAGTTGGCTTATCATTGTCATCCATTTCAACGAACTTCAATGAGGTTCTGAAAAGGAAATGTAGTTTAAAAAAAAAAATCAAACACACTCAAACTTTAAAAAACAAGTGAATTCATCCAGTGTTAATGGTTAATAGCACCCTCATAACAATTTAAATTTTGGTCATTGTTTTCTTCCATGTTACCTGGACTTGGAATTCACCCCAAGCGCACCCGTGTCGACACGATATGACAGGGGCACATGTACGGAATCCGTACCTGATATGGTCAAAAATTTTTGGATACATTGACTGTTGCGAGATTTGTGAGATCCGATGTTGATGGCAGAGGAGGAGGAGAGATGGACAAGAAGTCTCGTGAGATGGGAAGAGAGTGGAAGAGGAAGAATGGTTGCTCTGCGGAGGAGAAAGAAAGGAGAAAGCTGCTATAAATTTGAAAAGAAAAATACTCATGAAACCTGCTGTATTTTCACTTCATCTGTACAGGCTGCTGATTCTCTCTCACTGAAGGAAGATACGGAATTGTGGTAATGATGGTGTTTAAGAGTAAAAGTGGCTCTGTTAATTTGAGAAGAGATGTTCTGTTTTGATTCGTTTGAACCCACTGTAAATGAGGTGATGACAGCTCTAAATGAGGGATGAGGAAGATAGGGTTTCACAATGATAGTTATTTTGCAACTAAAACGCTGTATTTTGACTTTACTATCCTTTTGAACAAGTGACTTAATTTTTTTACAATTTTACCCTTTTTAATATAAATTCAGCCCCTCACACTTAAAAAATTTTACCCTTCTCTAACCAAGCTTATGGTTCTTTTCAAACTAGTTGCACACTTCATTGAAATTTTTATTAAAATACGCTTTATATATCATTGTACATAAATTTTAGAATGATTTATTTCTAAAGATCTTATCCATCTACAAGTTTAAGAAGCGCACCCCTGCACCCATACCTAAAATTGGTCACATATCCCTGGATCCTATAATTTTTAAATATGCGAATCCGACACTTCAACATGCACCAGTATCTGACACCAATACCCAAGTCCATATAACATAGATTTTCTCTTGAATAGATGTATATAATGCAGAGCCAAATTTTAGAAAAGGAAAGCAAGTCTTAATTTGTTCACAACCATATTGATTCATTAGCATGCTTAATAATGCATCCATCACCAAAATGTCTAACACAGAAATGAGTAATGACTATTCATATGAACTAGTCAACAGAAACCGCCTCTCCAGATTCCTTGTCCAGGCTACTCGCTCAATACTTCAAGGTATAATCATGTAATCCATGATTGCATTTGACAAGACGCATCCCTCTCTTTCCCTTTTATCTCTTCCTTTTCTCTTTGTTTGGGGTGGAGTGCTCTAGGCAGTAGGGCTCCTTTGAAAATAAGGCACTTAGGCATAAAATAATGCATTAGATGCAACATATAGTCATCAAACAAATTTTAGCTGATTAAGCTTTGCTAACCTATCATATGAACAACTAATTCTGTAAGTCTCAAAAAATAAGTAGTACCAGCTATTTGTCTAGAGCTGTACTAAAAAGGCTACCACGTAAGATTAACACCAACAAGATAGGCATCTTTCACCTTTATCTCCCTAGAAGGTAAATCACATACTGATACCACAAGCAAACTCTACTCCAACCAATTGTCAAGTTTATGGTCAATGGCAGAAAAGGAGAAGTATCTTAACCAGCAAACAGAACTGATTAAATATCAGAAATGTAATAGAGAGTATGCACTCCTATTTCTTATCATAGCAATTAAAGAATCTAGGCACAGTAAATTGCAAAGGCCTTATGGAGCTTAATGCAATGCTTAAAGTGGAGTGCTGGTCAGTTGAAACAAAGCGCAGAGTTGCTTATGCCGTAAATTATTTTCAACTAATGCCATAATGCACCAGTATGCTGTGAATTTGTAATTACATAGCCCTACATGAAAGCTTATATCTTCAAAGGAATAAAACACTACATCAAAGTACTTTCAACCCAAAAAAATCTTATTTATTTTATCATGCCTTCAATGACAATTCCACAATTTCTATAAAATCATACCCCTCACATACGGAATAACATTAAAAATGAGGACCAGCAAAAGTTTGACAAAGATCTTTCTTTTCATCATATCTTTAATAAAGCAACAACGAGAACATGAACCTTGTTATTGATATCTTAAAGCATTACACACAGCAAATCACAACCTCCATTGCAGTTATCATGATGTTCAGAAATTTTGAATCGAAAAGGCTCTTAAAAAGGAATTATATATATATAGTAAAATTTGAGATATCCAATATTGCAAAACTGGGAAGCACAAGAAAATAAACATAAAATAAAATTTTCACATTATTTCCTTTATTGAAAACCATTTGAACATCAACTTTTAGAGGTAAGAACTTCTGTATCTAAAAGAAATCTATTCAGGACATCTGGAAATCTAATGAAGTTTGTAGGTCTACTAAAATCAAGAATAGATGTACATAAATGTAGTCAATCCACAAATCGAAATATAATAACACCACATAAACACTTGGAGTAGGCAGCCATTAATACTTACATCTCATAAATGAATAACTGACGCTCTCATATCCCAAAATCACTTTACTACAAGAATGTTCCACATGATCTGCTAACCTTACACAAATTCCATGGTACAAAAGCACTTTCTACCAGCTCAGATTGTGAGCATCAATAGCATAACACACATTTCATAGCATAACTTCAACAAATCCAAGGAAATGTTAATCTTACTAATATATATGCTAAATCCCAGTCTTTAAGTTAGCAACTGACTTCATTCAAATAAGAGCTAAATGCCGCGACTGAATTGCAACTGAACAGTTTCTCAAAAAATCTTTGAACCATCTTTAGACTTTCAGCATTAGACCTCAAAATAAAGCAAATATAAATTCAATCCTAGTAAAGTATATGACATCTAAAATCATGAACAGCGAAATCTGGTAGAAATTGAATCCAATACCGGATTAAAGAACAAATTACCTCCAATTCAATATACAATTTAAAATTTGAGGAAATTAGGTGATTAAACAATTTATCTATCGCAAAATCAGAAATTTTACCTTCTCCCGAGCTTCAGCTGACAACTCCGCTCCCCAAATCACAATCGACTCTGAGATTTAAATCAAGAGAGGTTTTAAATGGAATTACGCAATTTCGGAGAAAGTGTTAACAGAAAATGCCACGACTTTTAATAATAGCTATGCTTAAGCCGGAAATTAGGCCTTAATTAGGGTAAGAGATAGAAGAAGGCAGGAATAAGGACAGTTAAAGACGGCGAATTTTGGCCAAGGGGCTTACCGGCGCCGGCGAGGTGATCGATCTCTATCCGAACCAAGTTGACGGCAATGACGAGGATCGAGAGTTTAGGGTTGTTCTTTATTTTATTTTATTACTCCCAACCGCTCAGTCTCACACTCTTTCTCCCAGCCCTCTTAGTTTGGATTTCTAGGTCAAAGGAGAGTCAAAAATATATCCAGCATTGACCCTTTTCTTTTCTTTTTTTTTTTGGATAGCAAAGTCAATAAAAAAAAAGGGATAATTTCAGAAACCTACCCTGAGGTTTCTAACGATTTCACTAAGCTCCCTCAAGGTTTTTAATATTACACTTACTTCCCTTGATGATAGAAAATGACTATAATAACCTTCATAATTTTTCGAAAGACAAGCCATTGATAAAAAAAAGAAAAGATAACAGAAAAATGAAAAAAGGAAAACAATTCTTCTTGCTAGGCTATATATTGTTGTCAAACTGTTTCAGTCATGGCCATTAAATTGTACCCTTCTATCACTCAAATATGCTAATCAAGGTAGATGTCTCATTCCTTATTGTTATCCTGCTATCACCATCCCTATCACCTTTCTCAAAGTGTCTCTTGAATTCTTGATCTCCAAATGCTAATTTAAAACTTGTAATTCTTTTTTATTTTGCCACCCTACTCATTAAAACCTTGATAATTCTATTTGTAAATTGAAATAGAATGGAAATCTAAAATTTTCACACAGAAAACCCATTAAAAGTGGAGATCTAAATTTTTCACATAGAAAACCCATTAAAAGCCGTTACCTCACTAATCTTATTGTCATGCTACTGTTGTTGATGATGATGGAAGCAATCATCACTGCCAACAATCTAATTGTTCATATCATAGAGCACAAAAAAGTTACTGGATTACGAGAAAGTATAATTTGGTAGACTATACTAAACTACTACCCCAAACTTGCACTTTGTTGATATTTTTCTTGGTTCCTCTTAATAGACATCAAACTTGTGTAGACACCAAATTTTTGTCAATTTTTAATATTTTCTCAGGATTTTTCTATTTAATAAGTTATTTATTTTCTTGTATTTTAATGTGCATTTTCTCATTTTTGCAGGTTTGCTTTACGAAAAGAAAAAAAAAACAACAAAACAACAAAAATCAAAAAATCAAAAAATCAAAAAATCATTTTGATCATTTTGTTTCACCAAATTAACTATTAACCCATTTCACACTCAATGGCCATGGACTTGTCTTTTCATTAGTTGAGAAATCATCATTTTGGCAAAATTGAGGACACAAGCTCCACTTTCTTTCCCAATAGACATCTCCTGACTCTCTCGGCTCTCTCTGGAAAAAAAACGGCAGAAGGAAGAAAAAAAAAGAAGGGACACTCTCTCGGCCTTTTCTTTTGCTCTCAACAAAAACACTCCAAGCCAATACATCTCTCGGACCTTTCTTTGCTCCCAACAGACAAAGCCATAAAAGAAGAAAGGGAACTAGCGGTCAGACCATTGGAATTTAGGAATTCCACCACAAAGCTCAATCAAGTGACTGCAATATCCTAGAGGTATTTTTTTTCTTTTTTTTTTTTCCGTTTTGTTTTTCACATTAAATTCATATTTAATTGCCTATTTTCTCCTGTTTTTGCTGCTTTGCATTGTTGTTGTTGGATTGTTCAAAAATTGGAAATGGCATGAACCGGATTTAGGAAAAGGAAAGGTTTATTGTGAATGCATGTTAATAGTTTGAAAAAATGCCAAAAAGAATTTTAGGGGCTGTTTTGCTTTATTTTGGCCATTTTATGTTGTTTTCTTGTCAAATTAAGATTATAGTTGTATTGTAGAAGTTGCAAGGAGTGTTATGGTATAATTTTTGTGATTTTTGGTGAAAGATATAGTGTTTTAAAAAATAAAAAAACTGGACTGACTTTTTGCTTTCGGCCACCTTCGGATTATCTTTTGTAAAAATTAACTCCGGAAATGGAACCTACGCGAAAAATGGAGTGGGGAGGTGCATTTTGAGAAATTTTGGCGACCGGAGAAGCCGCCGGCGACCGCCGCCGGAGGCGGTGGCGCCACCTGCGGCCACCATGGCCGCCAACTGAAGTAAGCTTCAGCTGGCCGAAGAAGGAGATAAAGAAACGGTGAGGAAGAAGAAAGAAAAGAAAAGAAAGAAAAGAAGGAAAGAAAAGAAAAAGGAAATTGGGCTGATGTTTATTTTTCTGATGGGCCAAGAGTTAGTTTTGGTTGGGTTTTTGGAAATGGGTTTTGATTTATTTTTCTCTTGGGTTTCTGTTGGGCTAAGAGACTGGAGCCCATATCTTTTGGTCGGGTTTGAGTGATAAAAGACGGGCTGGCCTGTGTGTTTTAGTTTGGACTTTCGGTTGGGCTTAGGTAGTGTCCGGCCCAAAGAAATAAAATAATGGCCCAGTGGCCTGTTTTCTTAAGAAGATCTGATTACGATTTTTCACTTTGGCCCCTGATCTTTTGAGTAGTTTCACTGCAGCCCAGAACATTTTAAATTTCTTTCATGTAGGTCCTTATATTAATTGCATTTTGGTCCCTGAATTTTATCTTTCATTTAATTTTGACCCCTGAACTTTGGAAAATATAATTTTTGTCCCCCAAAAGTTTTCAATTTTTTGCAATTCAGTCCCTAGTGAATTTTGACTCTCTTTATTATGATTGCTTCTTTTTAATAGCTAATTATGTTACTTTTGAGTATGTTTAACTTGTAATTTTTAAATATTCTTAAATTTATTTACGTTTGACATATTAGTGTGAATTTAGTACTTTTATTATTATTATTTTTTCAATTAAATTGGTGCCATGATTCTTTTGTTCATTGTGAGTATAAATAGGATAATTTGACTCCACTTAGTCACCACTTCAAACGGGAGGTACTCCTATTTTATTATTTCAATGTCAATTACGTGCTCTTATGTGCTCCTATGTGTTCCTATGTGTTTATATATTTTTATATGCTTTATTTATTTGATTTAAATATTCATTCAAATTTTCTTATATATGTTTTAGTTAATTTTTTTTAATGATTCGAGAGGCATTTAAATACCTCAAAAATGTAATAGATAAGATAATTTGATTTGTTTTATTATATTTTTCCCTCCTAGATTGTAGTTAGGCGCTCCCCGATGTAATAGATAGGTTGCGTGTTTATGTGGCTTATGTGTTATGTGTTTTATCCGCTTTTCTTAGGATTTTGGCATCTAGATATTATGCTTACGTGTTATGTGTTACGTGCTCTTATGTGTTTATTTGTTTTAATTTATACTTTATTTGCTTCACTATGAATTGCCAATGCATGGCGTCACCACACTAGTCCAACGCTAGTTGTGGTTTCTCCCTCCGCTTACTTGCTAGTCCAACGCTAGTAAGGATTTTTAGAAATGGGTTAGTCCAACGCTAGACCCTTTAGGTTATCTTGCGCTAGATTCATCTTTGTGTGCTATTCACTACATTTTCATGCATATTTTCATTTTTAGGATCTTTTCTCATTTGCATGATATTTCCTATTATATTATCCCTTACCCTCTATAGGTACTAATCATGTCATTTAGAATTGCATCTCATTTAAGCTAGTTCATTTGCTTGTTCATGTTAGGATAATTATTTTTCAAACATGGGAAATGGGTGATTATAACTTTTTAGTTCAAATACCCCATTAATCCTTGTATAAGAAAACTAAGTCACGAGTTTTTGTCTCCCGTACCCTTTATGTTGCATTCTCTTTTTCTTTGATCACATATATATATGTATATAATTTAATTTCTTTTTTTTATTTTTATTTCATCATTTGCATACTCGTGACACTTTCAAGGAATCATTTTGGCCTTCGCAATTAATGCGATTGGTTCAATTAAACCCTTGAATGAACATGTTGTCCCTTGCGATATTTTTTAGATTTGCATTCATATAGAAAACATCCAAATGTGATAAATTAAGGGTTAGATTAGGAAATTTTGACTAAACCTCGCAACTAGCTTAGACTAGGTTGAAAGGGTGCCTTAGATTTGAGTTAATCGAATCTTTGCCTTCCCTTTCTTCAACCGTGACTCCCGAATCCATTTTCTCTTGTTTTCAAAGACTTGGAGTTGTCAAAAAGGGTTTTATTTTGTTTTACTTTATTTTTTGGGTGACTTGGTACACCAAAACTCCATACCAAGTGGCGACTGCTGTTTTTTCTTAAAAACCCTTTTAGACTAAATTTTGAACCCAAATTGTCGCATTCTTTTTAAGTCCCATTCTAGGTCCCTTTTAACTTGTTTAAAAATAAAATCATATCTTTTATAAACCTCACACTTTATTTTTCTTTTCCATCGCGAAAAAATGGGGCGCGACAACTTGTTCTCAATAAAATTGTGTTAATTTTGAGAAAAAAATGTGGGCTGATTTAGATGACCAACCCAAATGCTGAGAGTAGAGGTTAGAAGAATTTTTGTAACCGAGAGCTTGGCCGTTTGAGTGGGGAAAAGGTAAGGATTGTGAGTTTGATAATTAATGACTTGGTAGATAATATATGGAAGAAATCTATAGAGAGGTAAAAATTGTAAAGGTAAAAATTACGACGGTGGATTTTGGCATCTAAAACAGAGTTTGTTCAGAAGAAAAAGAAGTGACAAGTGTTTGAAAGTTTGGGTGGATGTAGAAAACCAATGGAATGAAAAACATCAAAACATTGGCTAAACAATAAAACTCATAATTTTGGTAGTGTACAAGTGCATTCTTGACTTTTAAAAATTTTTAATGATTATTCATATTAAGAAAATTTAGCTGAGGGCAAATTTGGTCATTCATATAACTTTTTTGGTATTACATCATGAAGGTGAAACCCAAACCTACGTTTTAGGGGAGGTATATGTAATTTTCAAAATGTGAGGGGAACTATCTGAAATCATTAGAAACCTCAAGGGAGGTTTCTAAAATTATCCCATAAAAAAATATAAGTGACAGGTGTCAACTTCAATTAATTATATAATTCAAACTTTTAATGAGTCAAATTAAACCGAATGTCTTTTATAGTTACCGGTTATCCCTACTCATGCATTTGCATAGGCACCTTTTCATGCTCGAAAATTTTTACTTTTTTGAACAAAAATTGTTATAAAAGAACCAAAAATGCTATTTTATAAAATTTAATATAATTATTGTAATGCAAATATTGAAATTAAATAGATTAAA